AGCTACTATTCATTCTATAGTAATTTACTATATTATAAACAGTAAAGCAAATTAAATATATTAAAACATGGATTCCACTTCAAGTATAGAGGAGTAGATATGATTTTTAAATCAAATGTATTAAAACTTAAATTATTCTTTAAGTATATAGGAGTAGATATGATTTCTAATTTTAAGTGTGTAATAATTAAATCAAATATGTAAAATCTTAGAGGAATGCAAGTTTAAAATGTGGTGCATAAAAAAACAGGGGAGCGTGTTTTGCACGGGGTGCACACTAATGACGAGGTAAAGCAAGAAAGCAAACTCATAGATAACCAACTCAAAGAGTACATCTGTCAAACTCCCGCGTATCTACTAATTACCGGAAATGAAATGGAGAATAAATTTTCGATTGTAGCCGTTATGTATTTCGTTATATCTTGAATTAAAAAAAAAATCTTTGACACGGTTCCTTTGAGATAAATTTTACGGAAAAAAAATTATTGAATCATTTTATTCGACCAACACTCGTCGGAAGTGTGAACGAAAGGAAACAAAAGATGTCATGCAGTAATTTATATGCTATAGATTTTAGAAGGGAAAAAAAAAGATACTTTCTGTCAATTGAATCGTTTCACACAAAGCTACCAAGCTTTTATTGAAACACCCAAAATATATAATCCCACCAACCAATTATGAGAGCAAATAGTAACAAGATACCTAAAAGAGACCTTTTACTTTGCGATCGCTCTCACAGACCTTTACTTTGCGATCACTATCGAAGGGGACAAAAGTTGAGCTGGCTTCAAGAGAGGTCAATATCGGTCACTGCGCCAAATGCCAACATCAAATATAATATATAAACATAGAAACGGTCTGGTTGTGACCCCTGGCGGTGTGCAACGGTCGGTTCGGTTTTTACTAAAATTTGAACAACTGAACGGTTTTTACCAAAATTTGAACAACTGAACCGAACCGTCTATAATTCAAAACCGAACCGAACTGTTGCAAGTCGGTTTGGTGCGGTTCGGTTCGGTTTGTTCGGTTCTAACTTCATCAAACAACAAACTGTGTTAAATAAAAAAAGATATCAACAAGTAGGAGATTATGAAGCATTAAACACTAATATAATGATATTGTTTTCAACCCATAATGATTCAGAAAATGAGTTTATGGTTTAAGTCTTTGACTCTTTGAGGACAGGTCGGGTAGGTTTGAGATCAGAATGAGTAGTATTGCACTATATTCGGTCGGTTCGGGTTGAAAATTTTTCAAACCGACCCGAACTGCCCTACTTATAAAACCGATTTTTTCGGATCAGTTCGGTCGGTTTTTTCGGTTTGGACCGAACCATGCTCAGTCCTAGTGACCCCCATAACAAAATTACTATGGAAAATTTTTGCGGAGGAACACTGCTTTATTACACCAGTTGATTATTTAATAGATCAGGAACACTATTTTATTACACAAATTAATTATTTAATATATTACGATTTTTCTTTGAGTGTATAAATTGGAAAATAGTGTAATTCATTAGATTATGATGATCAGTGTTAAAATTAGATGATAAACTAGAGTGAATCATAACCATTCGATAGATAATAAACGATTGTGGTGAAAAGTAATGACCTCTCTACTATCTTTTGACGACTAAAAAAACAAATTCAAATTCGAGAGAAAGAGGGAGGGAGAAGAATCGATCATATTTTTATAATGTGGGAGTTGAAGGGGGGAAAACAACCCGATTTGAGACTTGGTTAGGATTATGATTGATCCGCAATCGAACTAAGTCAATTGATTTGTGGCACAAATGTAACTAATTCGAATTTGACTACTTTTAATATACGAGTTTGAATGCATTGTACGTGGGTATCACATTGACTTGTTTATCCTCAATCAGATCCATTCTCCTCGACTTGCACTTCTAAATTCAGCTTTGTTGATCTCGTTGTTTATTAGAAAACTATTGAGAGCTCCTCGTTTGTATAATGTGATTCACCCGGGCACGTGAGAGATAATATTAGATGTTGCTTCCAAAGCCAACGTATCAAAAAAAGACAATAATACAGATCTAAACATGTGTCAAAGGACTCTGCAGATCATACGAAAATGCAGCTCATCGCTCTTTTGCTCACATACACCAACACAATTAACATCATTATTTTACATAAATTTGACCTTTAATTAAGGAGAATCATGTCTGGTGATGCAAATTATAAATTCCACCATCCAGGAGTCGATCAGCGCACACTTAACGAAACAAACCCAAAGGGTTACAAACATGTAAACAAAATACTCAGAAAGAGTTGCGTACGATATTTGTACCCTCGACAAAAAAAAGTTTGGTTATTTCTGACATACGTATTTGTCTGAGAAAATATTCATTATTATCCTTTTAAGGAAGTTCAGAAAGGCTTGGACCTCACAGTTTCTAAATAAATGAAAAGACGCATGCTTGGGTACGTGCCCACGTGCATATGTGTGTAGAATGTCGAGTATTTGGAAATTTGTGATTAATATGGATCTTTCGTAGAGCGATGATCGTCTAGAAAGATTGTTACCGATAAGTAGATGATCAAGATATAGGATTCACATATGTAATTGGACCTTAGTAGGAGCTAGTGGGATCCAAATGATGCGAATGAAGTGTTCCGAATACTTTTGCTCATATAGTATGGCTCATCCGGATAGATTAATTAGAGACAAATTAAAAAAAAAAAACACTTTCAAGGATGATTTACATCCAAACGGACGATAAGATGGACCTAAGCCTCTTTCCAATCCATTTGTTGGCTGTTTTGCGCTCTGATGCACTAGCATAATTAACAGCATTATTATATACGATTTTGAATCTTCAATTAAGAAAGGGGGGAAAAGAACGCTCACGTTTGTTACCATAAATTATGGGAACCACAAGCAAAACAAGAAGAAATGACGACTCCTTTCGTACAAGGGAAATCTAGTTAAGGTTGGCTAACCATTCATCAAACCATCATTAAGTCCAGCTAATCACAACTATAAACTTAGCTTCAATCTCACTGTCACATCTAATTAATAATGTAAACCAAACGTCCCAGAGTTTTGAATTTGTTTGGTTAAAAAATGGAAAGTGGTGTCAAGCTGTATATCTCGTCATGATTTAGCTTTAAAGAAAAGGGACCAACTCGTGGGTTTGGATCTAGAGCCAGCTTAAGGCCCACAAGGGTCCAGCTAATAAGTGCATATGAGAAGTTGCTGAGATCAAGATTTGTTTGAGAGCTGAAAGCAACAAGTAGCTAATTTCCCTTTTTCCCGCTAGCTTGTTGTCTTTCCAGTGTTAGGGATGTACGGTTTGATAAAATGTATTCACCTTTTCCAACTACACTGTAACTAATCAAACATGGAAAAATACAAATCTGGTAGCAGTATTTACGAGTGCATTTCCAATACAAATTTAGTGTTTGGTTAAAAATTGGCACGAAAACTACATGATTTTTCTATTTAGAAAACCCGGGTCTAAATGGGTTTTCTAGTTGGAATAGAGAATTTATTTCTAATGAATTTTCAATTTTTCATCATTATAAATTTTTTTTGGTGGCTACAACTTTTGTTTCGCATGCATCAAATTGGATATAACATTTGGTGTCGTTATTCCTTTAAAGTTTATTTTCCTTCTATAATTATAATGCTATAAAATAAACAATTAAAATATAAATAAAATTGCTGTATTTATTTCTGCAACTATGTTTTCAGACAATGGAATAAACCCCGATCAGTGTAGATCTCCTAAAATTGATAAGTTTCCATAATAAGTTTTTCTTTCTGACAAATAATGCGAACTAAGTTATCACATTGCAAAAAAATTTCACATTTCTGTAGATATATTCCATCTTCTTGCTCTCAGGGGCTGTTTGGTTGCACACTTTTTGAGAAAATTTTTCTCAAAACATCTGACAATGATAAATTTGTAATTAAAAGTTTTTCAGAGATTTCTGTAAATTGTGTTTGGTTCAACAGAAATATTTTCTATAAAATATCAAAACCTACCAAATTTTACAAAAAGCAATTTCCTCTCAAAATGAGAGGAAATCACCAGAAATCTGACACATACCATATTTAATTAAAAACCTACCAAATCTTGTTATTTTCTATAAAGTTATGAGCTACTTTTTTGTTTTGAACCAAACAAGCAAAGTACAAAAAACAAAAAAATTGGTACTTTTTGATTTCTCAAAACTTTTCCTATAATTTTTTTAAGAAATACAAGGAAATCATATTTTAGGTGGAAAACATTTCCTATAATTTCTAGAAATTGAACCAAACACCCCCTTATTTGCCAAGCAAACAAGCTTCCCACGATCTTCTTGGCAGTTTATCAATAAGTAGATAACAAAAATATCAAATTTAAGATTAGACATAAAACACAATGAAAGATCACAAATTCTAGATTGAACAATAAAGTCTGTTAAGAAAAATAAATTATTCGCAGATACGTGCAAAGTAAATTTAGTAAAATTTGTTTTTGAAAAACTGCATGTTGAATATAACGGATCAAGTATATACAACACAAAGTCAAAGAGTTTCGGGTCTAAACTATATTTGTTAAACAACGTGTCATTGTAACGTATTACTTCGATGTGTAAACTATGTTTTTTCTCTCTAAATTCTCCGCAGAAATTAGAAAATTCCATTTTCGCCGGCGGGAGAAACTTAGTAGGGCCCATTGAACTCTCCATTGTTAACAAAGAAATTTGATCTTCTCGGGCTTCCACCCGACGCAACGATACTTTCGATAACTAAAATAAAATGGACACATGATAGCTACAACCACCTCATCAAACTCATCTCAACCAACCAAATGAAATTACTTGCTCCCCCAAACAAAAGACGACAATATACATCCCCATCGGATCCCTTTCCTGCAAAAGCAGGACCCTTTACAGAACAAGCCCATGTGATTTCACCTGGCCCACACAAAAACAAACAAACAGCTAGCACCAAAATCCATTCAATTCCATGGCACTTTTTCATTTTTTTTTAATTTTGATTTTTAATTTATTTTAATCGAACGTACAAAAATACAAAAAACTAACCAGCTAGCTACCCTCTTCTAGTTCACAAAAAACACCTAGAAGAAAACACACCTGCTCAAAATCACACACACATTTCACTCAGCTCTGTACATTTGCCAAAAGCACCCCCCCTAAAATTAACAATCACACCCACGCCCATAAAAAAATTAAAAAAAAAATTCAAATCAGAATGAGCCTGATCCCTCTCTCTGCAAGGAAAACTCCTTTCTAAGCTTATGAGAGAAAAGCCTACAGGCATCCATGCTCAGATCAACAGCGGCCGCCAATGCGACGAACGCCGCTGCGTCCTCCGTGCACCCCACGTGCTGAACTCCGACCTCGACCACCGGCTTGCTACATTTCCCTTCTCCTTCAACCGATGATGACATTACAAACCCTCGATAGCTCGAAAACTGCCACAAACAATACCCAAAATCCCCACTCCCCCTCGGACTGCAACCCGGCGATGAATGCCTCGTCAAGATCCCATTGCTTCCAGTGAGATCGATCGAGAATTCCCACCCTGGCCGGCGTCGATCACAAATCGGCCAGCGAGACTCCGACGCCATTGATGTTGTTGGCATCGGCATGAGTCGAAAGCGGTAGCGCGAGACCGTCCGTGGGACCCGCGCCGTTCGCGCCATGCCTCGAGGCGGCCCCAGGGCTTGAGAATGTGCCTCCCGAGGCGGAAGAGTATCCAGGCGCCAGGGTTTGTGCTGCTGACGCGGTCGTGCGTGCGAGAGGCGACGAAGGGGGTCGCCATTGAGGCCATGGCGACGGTGGAGCCCGAGACGTCGTGGACGGTGACGTACCAGCCTTTGCGCTCTTTCAGAGGGCGTTCGCGCTCGGATCCGAAGGAGGAGAGCCAGCTTCTTGAATTCGTAGGTTCAGATGGCAGAGAACTGTAAAGTTAAGGAAATCTTGGTTAGACATTGAACCTTTAGAGTTTTTGAAGATGAAATTGATGAGTTGAAGTAGGGCAAGACGAACTGAAATAGGTTAAAAAATTGAACTTCTCTATTGACTGATTTTAGCCCTAAATTTATAAAAATCAACTAAAAGCAGAGCTCCTCTAACCGCCCAAATAATTTTTTTGAACAAAAACGGAATAAAACTTGGAATTACCTTGTTCTCAAGTTTCGATCGCCAGGACGATAAGTACTGAACTTGCAAGTAAACACCGGCTGCCTCATTTTCCCCTGAACCTGAAACACCTGCGGACTACACTCAGGCTCTCCGTCGAACTCGAACACAAACCTCGGATCCGGCTCAGATCTCACAGTCAAGTGCAGCATCGCCGACGATCCCTTGCTCTCCCTCCCAACATTAACCCACCCATTATGAAACACGCATCCTTTTCCCACAACTCCCTTCAGATCCAACGGCAGAGTCACTTTGCCTAGCAATCTGCCAGAGTTCACTCCGCATGTAGACCCTCTTCGTCCAGTGTAGATCGCGACCTTGAGCTTCGATTTCCCCGCGAAGATGACGGCTTTGGAGGCGATCTTGTCGAGATAGGCTTGGCTGAGGGTGGAAACTGGCGGCCAGGGTTAGGGTATGGGGGTTCTGGTCACCGCCGGAGTTGTCGTCGGGGACGAGTTCACCGGCGAGGTTTGGTAGGGGAGCTTGTTGAGGGCGGATCTTGCAATAGCAAGGGAGGTCGAGGGTGAACGCCGCCGGAGCGGCCGGGGCGAGCGGCGGCGCGGGGGTTCCCGACGAGGACCCGCACGAATGGGCAAGGGTCCATTGAAGAGAGAAGACGCGGACTGGAACTTAACTTCCCCCCTTTTTTTTCTCCTAGGGTTAGGGTTTGGGGAAAGAGAGGATGAGCGTGGGGATTTTATTTGGAGAAGGTGACAGGCTGGAATTGGGGATGAGCTGGGGAGCGGTAGGAATTCGTAGGATGCGTTGAGAAGCGTGCAGGGAGTTTGCGAGCTGAGCTGGTGGCCCCACATGAAGGCTTTAATTTAAGTCCAGCGCGAATTTTTGAAGCGGGAGTGGGGGGGGAATGAGGAGAGAGAAAGTAGGTGTAACGGAATTTTGACGAGAAGAGCGGAGAGAGCAGTGGGGGGGGGGGAGCATTAAAGAATTGAACGTGGATGATGGGGTACAGCTGGGTTTTAGCTGTCACGGGCCCTGTAACAGTTTGGGGAAGGCCGGAATCCAAAGATCATTGTCATCCAATTTGATAGCTCACCAAGTTACAAAAGTGCCCACTATGTTTGAATCTAATTGCGAGGCTGCCATTGGCCTTCGCTGGTGGTTTGCTGGTGGCGCCCTCTGGATAACAACTGTCAGTGGGGTAGACATTTTGCTGCCTGTTTCACTGAGCTGTGGGGTCAGGCTCAGGAGAGGAGGGGATTGGTGAAGAGCAGCTGAGCTGTCAGATGGGGCCCACGGTCCGGTTATTTATTTTCTGGCATCTTTTGGCGAAGGAGATAGAGACGAAGACCGCTGATTCGAGCAGCGAACGTGCGGGGACCACGTGCTTGTGTATGGTGAAGCTGCTTAAATTATTAAAACCAGATTGACAAATATTATCCAAAATAATTTACTCCAAAAAGAAATTTGTAAATAAATTGTTCTTATTTCGGACTTCCCAAAGTATACCACTATGTCATTTGTAATTATTCTATAAAAACCCCTTATAAAAAATATAATCTATATCATTTATGCAAATGGATGATGAGTTTTACATCTGTGTATCTTTAGGAAGAATATGTATGGCAACTGATCAAAGTATTTTATAAGCCACTTTTTTTTTAACTTATAAACAACTATAACATGTATGTCAAATAATTTATTTTAGCTTATAAGCTAAAAATGTGTAGGGCAGCTCAGTTTCTTTTTTGAGGGCTTATAAGCCACATAATTTGATGAAGTAAAAGACCCAATATCGAACTTCTTTTTAGTCCGCTCATTAGCTTATAACATGTATATCAAATGCTTAAATTTAGAGTGATGTTCTTTTTAGTCGTTTTGACAATAAAAATTGGTTATATGTCACTCATTTGCGAAACGCTCTACTATTAGAAATGGATTACAATCCACTAAATTTATCAAACACTTTGAATTATAATTCATTCAGGTTATAAGAATTATAATCCACTTGTTTTACATGTCATTGGTGGTTCATAAGCTAAGTAGCTTATAATCTAAGTAGTTCCTAAACATGCTTATATTTATTTTTGTAAGAAGTTCGATTTTGGTTGGTTTAGATAAGAGATAATGTATAGTGACCCAATAGAGTTACGAGGAAGAGCAATAAGATTTCTGATCATATCATAAAAAATTGTCTAATATAATAAATTCCTTAAAAAGTAAAATTTGAAAACAAAATTGAGATTAGAGTACTTAATTATTGAAATTAACCTTAATTTCATTAATCTAATTGTTAGAACAATTTTAACTTTATAGTTGATAATATATTCAAATACAAATCTGAATATTCACACACATGCATCACATTTGTATCAATCTCCTTATCTTATACCGGTGGCGGATGCATGAGGTGCTCTAGGGGTCAGTTGCAGCTAGTGGTGTCCAAAAAGCCAACCGGCCGGTCCGGGCCCGGCCCGAAATAGTATTTTTTTTTTCTTATATGTATAATATATGTATATATATAATTTATGTATATATATATATATATATATATATATATATATATATATATATATATATATATACAGCTAGTGGTGTCCAAAAAGCCAACCGGCCGGTCCGGGCCCGGCCCGAAATAGTATTTTTTTTTTCTTATATGTATAATATATGTATATATATAATTTATGTATATATATATATATATATATATATATATATATATATATATATATATATATATATATATATATATATATATATATAT